TATATATATATATATATGAACTTTTATGTAGTTCTTGCATTCTGTATTTTTTGTTTTTTCCCTGAACAAGTTATTTCCTTCTATTTACAGATTCTTCAAAAGCTGTGAACTAACTTTTTTTGTTTTGATGTTGTGATTTTTTTTAATTCTTTCTTTCTAGCTATGCCAATTGATAAATCTTGGATTAGCAAAACGCAAAATACACCTGAATATGCATGTGGGCTAAAAAGATTTTTGAATTTTGCTTTTGAACATGGTTCATTCGATGGACGCGTAATTAAGTGTCCATGTCCGAAATGCGGTTTTAATAAGTGAAAAAGAAGAAATGTAGTTGAAGAGCACCTGACTTGTAAGCTTTTTCCAAAAAATTACAAAGTTTGGTATTCACACGGTGAAGAATCAAATGCAACTATGCCACAAACGTTTCAGAGCACACATGTCATAGAAAAAACTCTGCATCCCCAAGGTCCAATGGTAACCATGATTAACGATGTATTTGGATTCATAGAAAATAATGTAAATGAGCCTGGTGTGTCTTGTGAGCCTATTAATAGAGAAGAAACATTTAATGAAGAGCATATTGATGGGCATAATGAAGAATATGCAAAGTTCTATGAACTGGTCGAAGATGGCAACCAATCATTATACGAAGGGTGCGCGAAGTATTCCAAATTGTCCTTTCTAGTCAAATTGTATCATATCAAGTATTTGTGCCGAATGACTGACAAAACGATGAGTATGATATTAGAATTATTAAAAGATGCCTTTGAAGATGTCAAGATTCTTGTTTCTTTTTATGAGGCCAAGAAAACCATCAACAAACTTGGCCTTAATTATACCAAGATACATGCTTGCCCAAATGATTGTATGTTATATTTTGGGAAAGATGAAGGCTTACAAGAATGCAAAAAATGCAAGACATCTAGGTAGAAGGATAATAAAAAGAAGCAGCCCGCAAAGATTTTGCGCTACTTTCCACTAAAGTCAAGGTTACATAGATTGTTCATGTGCTCTAAAACTGATGAGTCTATGAGATGGCATTCTTCAACGGGTAACCAAGATGGATTGATGAGGCATCCAAGGGATTCTCAGACTTGAAAAGCATTTGACTTGTTTCATCCTGAATTTGCTGCAGATCCTCGAAATCTACGACTAGGCCTAGCTAGTGACGGTTTCAATCCTTTTAGAGCAATGGTAACAAACTATAGTATTTGTCCTATGGTTCTTATTCCATACAATCGTCCTCATTGGGATTGTATGAAACAAACTATATTCATTCTTTCAATGATCATTCCAGGAAAACAAATGCCCGGCAATGACATAGACGTGTACTTACAACCTCTTATCCACGAGTTGAGAGTATTGTGGTACGATGGAGTGCAGGCATTAAACTCTTCAAAGAATGAAATATTTAAAATGTGAGTAGCCTTGGTGTGGACAATCAGTGATTTTTTTGGGCTTGGTACCTTATCTGGATGGAACACATACACTTAGTTTGCTTGTCCCACGTGTAACTTTGATACAGACTCTTGCAAGTTGAAGCATAGTAGAAAGTGGTATTTTATGGGTCATCGTCGTTTTCTTGATAGCGACAATCGATTTAGATTGCAGCGTGTCTGTTTTAATGAAAAACTTGAGCAACGGGAGCCACCAATAGTATTATCAGGGTCAAACATCTTGAAACAAATGGAGGGAATCAATTCCAATTTTGGGAAAGTAACTGAGTCGAATGCTAAAGGTAAAAGAACTCGAGGAAAAACTACCGCTGAAGATAGATCGAAACAGTGGAGAAAGAGAAGCATATTTTTTTATCTTCCAGTGAGGCGGACCTTGGAAAGTTTTAACATAAGCAGGAGGGATTCACAGATCTTCCAGATGCAAGACCCACCCGTCGAGCAGGGACGAAAGTTGGCCTTAGTGATCCGACGGTGCCGAGTGGAAGGGCCGTCGCTCAACGGATAAAAGTTACTCTAGGGATAACAGGCTGATCTTTCCCAAGAGCTCACATCGACGGGAAGGTTTGGCACCTCGATGTCGGCTCTTCGCCACCTGGGGCTGTAGTATGTTCTAAGGGTTGGGCTGTTCGGCCATTAGAGCGGTACGTGAGCTGGGTTCAGAACGTCGTAAGATAATTCGGTCCATATCCGGTTCTAGCACCATGCCAAATGTGTCCGAAGAAGAAGAGCAAAGCAAACGAAGCATGCCCAAAAGTAAACCAACCCCTTGGACTGCTACGAAAAACACCATCGGATTTCAAAGTAGCACGATCTAATTCAAAAATTTCACCCAATTGAGCACGTCTAGCATATTTTTTCACAGTAGCAGGGTATCAAACTGAATATTCAGGTATCAAATTTGGTTTATTTTACAGTGCGATTTTTCTTGATACCTAACATAATGCATGAAAGGATCCTTGAATAACCATAGGGTAACATGAAAATCCTTAGCAGAGGCTTCTACAAGACGTTCTATTTTTCCATAGAAATATATTCGTTCAAGAAGAGCCTCATTGCCCGGTATGGCTTGATAGTGGTATAAGGATTTCCCTCTAGGTGGTCCGCTTACTGTGCTATTTCAATGCTTCGGGGTAGAAGATGTCGAAGGAACAAAGAGGACGAAGGTGGAATCTAACTTATTGCGTCATAATCTAGACCTTATGCACATTGAGAAGAATGTGTGTGAGAATGTGATATATACTTTGCTCAATGATACTGAAAAGTCAAAAAACAATCTTAAAGCTCGGAATGATCTTAGAGAAATAGGTATAAGGAAAGAACTTTGGGAAGACAAGAATGAAAGCTATCGTCCAGCCTTGTTCACTCTTTTAAATTCAAAGAAAAGTGGATTTAAGATAGACATATTTTTGCGAACTTTAAAAGATGTCAAAATGCTTGATGGATACGCTAGCAACATTTCAAGATGTGTCGACCTGAAACAACAAAAGCTCAAGTCAATAAAGAGTCATGATTTTTACATTCTCATGCAACACTTGTTACCAATTGCCATACGTAATGTTTTACCTGACAAGGTGGCTGCAGTATTAATAGAGTTGAGTTCATTCTTCCGTTAACTCTGTGCCAAAAGCTTAAGCCCCTTAGACCTTGACATGCTCCAGTCTCGATATTTTCTCACCATGAATCACCTGAAAATGTTATTCCCTCCTACATTCTTTACAATCATGGTTCATTTAACTTATCATCTAGCTGGTGAAGCAAAACTTGAGGGACCTCAACAGTGTCGGTGGATGGATCCTATCGAGAGGTAAACAACAATTTTTATTGCTTAATTGGAGGTTGTTCATTAAGAATAGATGTTAATTTGTATCCATCAACTAATTTTTGATCTTTTGTTTAGGTATTTGGGACATTTCAAATCCTATGTGTGAAACACGTCACAACCAGAAGGTTCTATAGCTGAAGGATATTTAGCTGAAGAGGCTCTTACTTTTTGTTCCCAGTATATTGAAGGGATTGAGACAAGATTTAATATGCCACGCCGTGTTGACGATTTTCCGAAGGATAGAGGCTCGACGAATTCATCTAGTATTTTTCCACCAGTTGGTAAAGGACTAGGAGCTGTAACATTTGAGTTGTCCCCTATGGCAAAACGTCAAGCACATCGATATGTGTTACTAAATTGTCCACGAGTCATGCCATTCATTAAGTGAGTATTTAAGGCAAATCTAAATAAAACATGCATTAAATACATAAAAACTTATGTTAATTGTTATATTTATATCAATATGTCATGTAGTGAATTTAAAGTTTATTTACAGAGGCGGTGGAAGGGTCGAAAGCCTTCAACCACAGAGATAGAGAAGATAGTTAATAAAGACTTCATTGAATGGTTTCCTCGAAAGGTTGGTTACAAATGTATTAGAATTTTATAACTTTAGATTTGTGACTAACACATTTTACATTTTTGTTTCAGATGAACATCAAGTGATAAAATCTATTAGGTTGAAGGTTCAGGATGTCCATAACTTGGAGAATGAATTGCGTATAATTGTAGAATGTGAAGTTTGCTCAACCTATTGGAAAATCAGCCGGCCTTCTTGCAGGATTTTTGGGGCAGCTTGCTACAAATCCTCGATATTTCCCTATTAGCTTCGAGAGTTGGGAATCCATGCCTAAACCTTTTGTGGTCCGTGTTTTTAATGATTTCGTAATGTTAATGCCTTTTATTCTTTTGCATAGTTTTTATGTTATAGTTCTGTCAGCAGTAAACTAACATATATTATTTTTGTGAAGTCTCGATTTTTCTTTACGAGTGATCAGCAAAAGGTACGTAAAAGGTTATAATTCGCTTAACAAAAAGTGGAAGGAATTCAGGCTTAAACTATGACATGAGGCTGAGGATCCATTATTGAGTAAAGAAGATATCATCAAGAATGCTCCAGAAGGCATTCCTATGGATCAATGGGCATTGTATGTTAATTATCGTTCAAAAGAGGAAACAAAGGTTCTATGTTGTTGCTTTTGTTTTCTTTTTCCTTTTTTGTTCTGCCACTGTTGTGGCTTCTTTTTTTCCCTTTTCCATTTTGCTTAATGCAACTGGGCCCCTTGTCGCTTTTTATATGTAACAAAAATTCTCCTACTTTGACTTGTAGGCGCTTTGCTTGAGAAATCGACGGATTCGAGAACAACAAATACTTCCTCATACTAGTGGTGCTATGAGTTTGGCTAGAAGAAGGGCTTTGATGGTAGTTTAATACGACATACTTACTGTCGCTTTAATGTGACAAGAGTTATTTAGTTTAATTTTACTTTTTAAACTTTCAGAAGAAATAGGGAAAAGAAGTTGATCGCGGCAAAGTATGAACTAAGACTCATAAGAGGAAAGATGGGAGTTATGTGAACGATCAAGCTAGGGATATTGGGGCAAGTGTTGACATGATTACTATTGTTTCATTTGATAGATTTAATCAGTTTTATTATGTTATTCCTGTTCCATATCCATTTTCATACTTAATGAAAACATCTGAAAAACGTGTGGTAATACAATGAGGAGTTTAACTTTAAATTATTAGTACATGCTTTAAGTAATCATTTAAGTACTACATAATCATTGGCTATATACTTAGATGATAGTTTGCAAGAAATACATTTGGTATATGGCCGATCTTATAGTTGCATTTACATAATCTGTTGTACATTCTGTTGTAATACATAATCTGTTGTAGTAGGCTTTTGTAATTATATTTTGTCTCTCGTGTAGAAAAGAATTGAAGAAATTTGAAGACAAAGACTAGAAACTCTGGCAGAAACTTCACCGAATAACGCGCTTGGTGTAGTCTTTGGTCCCAATGTCACGACCCAATTTTTCCTCCATAAGATATCGTGACGACACCTAATCTCTACGACTAGGTAAGCCTAATAAAATACGGAAATAATAAAAATGGAAGTAAAGCTTAACAACTAATGCAACAGATAACTAAATAACTGGTAACAATGCCGCTCGACATGTATAATAACCAACACTCTAGTAATACACAGTATTTCCAAAATCCAAAACATCATAAGTCACAAGCTATAGAAGAAAAACTAGTATATCTATACACCAGATTCTAATAAAAGGAGTACGGAAGGTAAATGATATAGGAGAAAATAGAGGGGGACTCCGAGGTCTGCGGACGCGGCAGATATACCTTGAAGTCTCCGTACAACAGCAAGCGCTCTTAGCTAATAGCGGGGCTGATAAGAAGCACCTGGATCTGCACACAAAACATGTGCAGAAGAGTAGCATGAGTACACCACAACGGTACCTAGTAAGTGCCAAGCCTAACCTCGATAGAGTAGTGACGAGGTCAGGTGCGGGCCCTACTGGGATATAATAATAAGACATACGATATAATAAAAATAAAGTAAAACAGAGAATTTAACAGAAAGAATTCACAGAGAAATAACAACACAGCACAATGAGATAACAACAGGGGCGTTCCCGAGATACCGTCTCATACTCCCAAAATATGCAGGGAGATCTCCCGAGTTACCGCCTCGTAGTTTCAAAAGTAAATGTGCAGGGAGAACTCCCGAGGTACCGCCTCGTAGTCTCAAAAGTAAATGTGTAGGGAGAACTCCCGAGGTACCGCCTTGTAGTCTCAAAAGTAAATGTGCAGGGAGAACTCCCGATGTACCGCGTCGTAGTCTCAAAAGTAAACACACAGGTCAACCGACAAATACAACAGTTAACAGCGAGAATCCTACAGTTAAGACTGATAAAAATAAAGGAGAAATATGAAATCAACTAGGCATGCTGCACATAGTCCAAATAAGCAGTTAAAGCATGTAGACATGCGACATTAGACTAAGCAGGATAACTACACATGCTGGTACAACTCAATTAAGATGAAAACAGGTCACTACTTAGTGAAAATTGGGTTTTACAACAAATAACCCGTGTACGCACTCGTCACCACATATCACAACAGTACCAAATCCTAAAGGGGTGAGAATCATACCAATAGATCAAATGCCGAGCTTGGTAGCGCAAGCTTGTGACCCAAGTGGGGGCATTAAGGTGATGTGGACACTATAATAAATAAAGCCATTGACAGAAGTGGGTTTGGTTGGGCCAGCAATGGTAACTGGGTGCTTATGATGTATTTGAGTAATACTTGCATGTCATGACCCAATTCTCCCTCCGTAAGACGTCGTGATGACACCTAATCTTTACGATTAGGTAAGCCTAACAAAATGCGAAAATAACAAAAATAAAAGTAAAGCTTAACAACTAACTACAATAGATAACTAAATAACTGGTAACAATGCCGCTCGACATGTACAATAACCAACACACTAGTAATACACAGTATTTTCAAAATCCGAAACATCATAAGTCACAAGCTATATAAGGAAAACTAGTATCTCTATACACCAGAGTCTAATAAAAGGAATACGAAAGGTAAATGACATAGGAGAGAATAGAGGGGGACTCCGAGGTCTGCGGACGCGACAGATGTACCTTGAAGTCTTCGTACAGCAGCAAGCGCTCTCAGCTAATAGCAGAGCTGATAAGAAGCACCTGGATCTGCACCCAAAACATGTACAAAGGAGTAGCATGAGTACACCATAACGGTTCCTAGTAAGTGCCAAGCCTAACCTCTGTAGAGTAGTGACGAGGTCAGGTCCGGGCCCTAATGGGATATAATAATAAGACAGATGATATAATAAAAATGAAGTAAAATGGAGAATTTAGCAGAAAGAATTCACAGAATAATAACAACATAGCACAATGAGATAACAACAGGGGCGCTCCCGAGATACCGTCTCGTAGTCCCAAAAGTAAATACTCAACAGGGTATCTCCCGAGATACCGTCTCATAGTCCTAAAATATGCAGGGAGATCTTCCGAGTTACCGCCTCGTAGTCTCAAAAGTAAATGTGCAAGGAGAACTCCCGAGGTACAGCCTCGTATTCTCAAAAAATAAATGTGCAGGGAGAACTCCCGAGGTACCGCCTCGTAGTCTCAAAAGTTAATGTACGGAGAGAACTCCCGAGTAACCACCTCGTAGTCTCAAAAGTAGAGACACAGCTCAACCGACAAATACAACAGTTAACAGCGAGAATCCTACAGTTAAGACTGATAAAAATCAAGGAGAAACAAGAAATCAACTAGGCATGCTGTACATAGTCCAAATAAGCAGTTAAAGCATGTAGACATGCGATATTAGACTAAGCATGATAACTACACATGCTGGTACAACTCAATTAAGATGAAAACAGGTCATTACTCAATGAAAATTGGGTTTTACAACAAATAGCCAGTGTACACACTAGTCACATCACGTACACAGCGCTCACATATCACAACAGTACCAAATCCTACGGTGATTTTCCCTATACAAGGTTAGGCAAGCCACTTACCTTGAACCAAGCTCAATCAATCAGTAAGAATGCCCTTTCCTCGATTATCCGACTTCGAATGGCCCAATTCTAGCCAAAAATAATTACATATCATAAATACAACTATAATAGACTAATCTAATTAATGAAATCAAGACTTTAAAAAGAATTTTAAAAATTGTCCTAAAAAGTCGACCCGGGCCCACGTCTCGAAATCAGGTAAAAGTCATAAAATATGAATACCCATTCACTCACGAGTTCACTCGTACCAAAATTATCCAAATCCGATATCAAAATCCCAATCAAAACTCAAAAACTTAGTTGAAGAACTTCTCCCATTTTCCCTAAATTTCTCAACCAAATTCCTTAATTAAATGATGAAATCAAATATAGATTTGTGGAATATAACCATAAACGAGTTAAGAATCATTACCCCAAAGTTCTCTCTGAAAAATCCTTGAATTATCGCCTTAATCCGAGCTCTCAAAGACCCAAAATGAAAATGAGATCAAACCCTCGTAATTTCCACTTTTCTGCCCAGCGATCTCGCACCTGCAAACCTCTAGTTGCACCTGCGGAAATTCCATCGCAGGTGCAGAAATGACTTAAGAGGGATGGGTGCGCTTCTGCGATGAGGTGGCTGCACCTGCGCGCCTGCTTCTGCGTTCCTTTCATTGCTCCTGCGAGTCCGCTTCTGGGAGACTCTGACCATACTCGCTTCTGCGGCTCGATGGCCGCTTCTGCGGTGCCGCACCTGCGGCCCAAAATGCGCAGGTGCGATTACACCAAGTGCATCAACTTCAGCCAATCCAACACATTTCCAAATGATCTGTTAACCACCCGGAATCAACCCGAGACCCCCGGGACCTTAACCAAACATAGAAACAAGTCCTAAAATATCATACGAACTTAGTCTAGCCCTCAAATCACATCGAACAACAACAAAAACACGAATCACACTCCAAATCAAACTTAATAAACTTGAAACATCAAACTTCCACAACCGATACCAAAACCTATCAAATCATGTCCGATTGACTTCAAATTTTGCACATAAGTCATAATTGACATTTCGGACCTACTACAACTTCCGAAATCAGAATTCGACTCCGATATCAAAAAGTCCACTACCGGTAAAACTTTCCAAAAATTCGACTTTCGCCATTACAAGTCTAAATCAACTACAGTCCTCCAATTCACATTCCAGACACGCTCCTAAGTCCAAAATCACTCAATGGAGCTAACGGAACCGACAAAACTCCATTCCAGAGTCGTCTTCTCGCAGGTCCAACTACGGTCAAAATCCTAAGACTTAAGCTTCTGTTTTAGGGACTAAGTATCCCAAAACACTCCGAAACCACGAACAAAACCTCTCGACAAGTCACATAAGCAGAAAAAGATACGGGGGAAGCTGTAAACAGAGGATCGGGGATATTACTCTCAAAATGACCGGTCAGATCGTTTCAACCGAGCACCCTGGCCGTGTTCGAGGCTTAGGCATGGGTGCAGTTCCAACTGTAGTATTCAAGCAAACATCAAGACGAGGTGGTTGTTCTTATATGGGCGCAGCTAGCGCTAGTGCTCCACCTCCACAATGGGTGTAAGAGATGGCAAATATGAGATCACAATTAAATGCGCTAACAAGTACAAGTACTTATTTTTTCTCACTTATTTCTGACTCCTTCACAGGTACAAGTACTTATTTTTTCTTTGATTGCACATTCAATATTTGTATGTCCAAATAGCATAACCAAGTGAAACAACTGTCATACAATTTATAACTTCACTCAAATGAAGAAATAGCTGATAAAATGGCTTCAAGACAAGTAATTTATAACAGTGTAATCCACAAATATTTGTCAAATTCCACAAAAACTGCAGGCATTGAATCGCTCAAGAAACCAGTTCTGAAATAGTTTGAAATTTATTTCTTGAGCAAGGAATCTCAGTTTGTTGCTAAATTCATGGATCATCCGTCTTGTTCTCTCTTTTGAGTTTATGCAAACTTCAGTAGAGTGGTTCAAAGAATACTCTCAAGTTCTTAGGTTTGTTTTTAATTTGCCTAGTGTATGTTAATTTATTTGTCTCTAATTTG